TCTGCCCCTCTTCCTCACCCAGGACAGGCATGCAGCTGAGAGGGTACAAATTGGCTTGGTCTCTTGTGTTGGGATCGGCACCATATTTGAAGTGGAGTTTTTAGCAGTCTTGAGACAGTAACAACTGAACATTGTTATGAGAGTGAGTCAGATATTCAAGGCCCTGTGCTAGTCATCTTGGATCATATTGAGACCAGCAGGTCTAGCCTCTGCCTTCAAGATTAGTGAGGAACACACAGGGAGTGCCCTTGTCCCTGTGGGAAGGTTCCCTGGGCTACTCAGTGCTATGAGCTTCTGTTTCAGAGGGTGAGGAGAACATGTACAGTTGGGTCAGGGAAACTCCCTCTGAAGAGGTGGCTTTGCACTGGGCTTTGAAGGAGGGGTAGGAGTTGGAGAGACTGGTGTTATGGGAGACTTGGGAATGGCCTGCTGGGCCGGCAGACAGCAGATGCTGTCTCCTGCTGCCTTCCTATCTGTGGAGGTTTGCCTTGTTACTGTTCCTTCTAGCATGATTGGAATGCCTGTCTAACCCTCCAGAACTTGGGGCCACAGCATTGTCAACTGGTCCCTGTTGAGTACTGTGTGGTGGTGGAGGTAAGCATCAGCGCTAACTGGCTTTGTCACCAGCTGACGCTGGGTGGCGGGGATGCTGATGATAGACTCATCAAGGCACTGTCTAAGGAGCCAGATCACTCAAGGGTCCTGCTTGCCCCACTTTGAATAAAGGCACTGGCACTGTGAGCCATGAGCCAGACCTGCAGGTGTTTGGGTCCCTAGAGGATGTTGGCCTTTCCCTGCATATCAATGGACCATGCGGTGGTAGAAGACTTGAAGGTACCTGTTTAAAACAGAGAGAAGTTGCCTTGAATCCCAAAGCACCACGGAGAGGGAGTGCTGTCCCATACCCTGGTGAACTCTGGGCTTTTGACCTAGTGACAGTCCCGAGGCACTCGCCCCACTGGGTTTCCCACCAAGCTGAATCTCCCACTAGCCTTGGCTTCTAAAGTGGAATTGATTTGCTATCATGATGGAGACCAGCACTGTTCAGTAAATATACCTTAATATTTTGAATAACCACATTAAGCAAGTGAAAGTAGGTTTAATGATATATTTGATTTAATCTAGTATATTCTGAAGGTTTCCTCATGTAGCACTGGCCGTGTTTCATATCCTCAATAACCACTTGTAGCCAGTGGCCACTGTGCTGGACAGGGCAGATCTAGACTAATTTTACCAGGACTGGAGCAATGAAGAGGCTGGTTTGTGATCACACATCTAATGAGAGCTGATTGAGGCCGAATCTCAACTCAGTCCTCTGCTAAAAGTATATCAGATGGAAAATTCAGAGGCTTTCTGGATCTCTGCTGATTTGGCTGCTTTACTGTTAGTCGTGCCCTGTCTTAGAATCAGTGTATGTTTCTGTCTTTGAGTTTCAGCTTCCTGAGGAAAAGGCCTTTTAGGGCTTTTCTGCCTCTTGGGGGTCATGGCCTAGAGCCATTGCAGACAGCCCTAGCAGCCTTTTACTTGCTAACCTGGGTACTGAAGTCATGACTCTTCTAGTAATTTCTATTTTCTCTCTCTCTTCAACCTAGTTAATCAGTGTCATGTAGTTTTGCCTGCCTTGTTGACCAGATTTCTGCAACTTAAGATGTCAGACTTTAAAAGCATCTGAGCTGAAAGTTGTTTTGGCCTAGGAATTTAGTGAGAGATGACTAAGAGGTTTCTTGGTTAGATTTAATATTCAAAGATTTAAAGGGAAAAGATTTTCTTGTAAGAAGCAGATTTTTCATGGTACCTGTGCTGCAGGGGACAGTTGGTGGTGGGTCCACTCTGGTGAGCATGTGCCAAATTTTCTGAGCACCCTGTTGGTCCTGAGCGTAAGTAGAAGCCCAGCAGCATGTGCAGGCACCTCCCTGGCTTGAGCTGAACGCTGTCCGGGTATCAGCTCACCCTGGGATGGGGATGGAGCACCAGGCCGGCAGGGGAGCCAGCGGAGGACCAGAACACACACACACCCTACACCCACAACATATTTCACTCTAGGCTGGGGCTGGCAGACTGGGGCATGATATTGACTCCCTGTGTGACCTGGACAAGTCACTTCCCTTCCTGGGCCTCTGGCTCCTCATCTGTGAAAGGAGGGAGAGGTACTTGGTGGGCTTTGGGCTCCAAATTTGGCTGCAGTTGTGTCCCCCAGGCCCCAGGAGCTCTCCTTTCCCCTCCTTTGGGAATGCTTGTCCTTTGTCTGCCTTAGGGCCATGCCAGGCTTCTGCATCCACCCTGCTGCCAGCCTACCACCCCAGCACCTGGCCCTGCTTCCTGGGTCTCTCAGGTGAGCTCACAGCCTCTGGGCCTGAGCTAACTTCCTCCTACCCAAACCCTGCAGCTTCCTCCCCTCTCACTGTTTTCACCAGCAGTGGCATTGTCGAATCAGGCCATTGCCCTGCTAAGCGCCCTGTTCCATCTCTTTAGGAAGGCACACAAGTCCTTTCTGGGCTTGGTCCCTGCCATATTCCAGCCTCACCCCACCACAAGTTCCCTACAACCTTGCCTCATTCATGCTGTGGGCTTTTGCACACATTCCTCTCTCTCCCTGGAACCCATTCTTTTTCCCTTATCCTTCTGGCCACCACCTGCTTTCCCTTCAAGCCCAAGCTCCTGTGTCACCTGATTATTTGTTCATTTATCCCTTCACTTATTTATTTATTTATTTTTGAGTCAGGCTCTAACTCTGCTGCCAGGCTGGAGTACACTGGCATGATCACTACAGGCTCAGCCTCCTGGGCTCAGGCAGTCCTTCCTCCTCAGCCTCCTAAGTAGTTGGGACTATAGGTGCGTACCACCATACCCGGCTAGTTTTAATTTTTTTGATAGATGCAAGGTCTCACTATGTTATCCAGGCTGGTCTTGAACTCCTGGGCTGAACCGATTCTTTTGCCTTGTTCTCCCAAAATGCTGTGATTATAAGTATGAGCCACTACGCTTGGTCAATTTATTCCTTCTTTTATTTATTTAATAAATACTGACCTACTGTGTGCCTGGCACAGAGCTAGATGCTAGAATAACAGAGAAGGTAGACACTGAACCACTACTTTGAAGCTTTTGAACCTGCAGGTGGCAGGTATCCTAAACTTTGAGTGCCTTGCCCCTTGCCTCACCCAGCCCCTCCATCCCATCCTCCCTCTCTCGTACTCTCCAGTCGCATCAGCCCCATCACATCCTCTCTGCCCTGTCGTAGCACTTAGCATATTATGAAAACGACTGGTGTGTTTTTTTTCTTTCTCACTAGACTTAGTCCCAGATCCAGCTACCTGATGGGTGCTCAGTAAATATTGGTGGAATGAACGCATGAAGTGGCGGCTTGGCTGATAGTTGGAAGAATGTTCTCTAAAATACCCGGAGCTCTGTAATTGGTGGTTTTCTTTACCTGGGGCCAGGTGTGCAAGTGTCACTGAAAAGATTGTTGTTGTAGCCACCGCACCCCAAGATTATCCTTTGCTTGTAGATAGTAGTGGTTTGGCCTCTGCGTCTGTCACTTGCTGTCAGGCTTACAGGGTGGTTTTCTGCATTGCCTCTGATCCTGGGATCTCCTATGTCTGATGTCCCCACACCTCACTCGATGCCAGTGTTGATGAGGTTTCCATAATTGTGCCATGGCAGCCTACCTTCTTTGGACTCCTTTGCAGGGGCAACCTGGAGAACTGTGACCCACACATGCCATCCAGTTTGTTTCTTTACTGATAAAGTCATTGTTTTGGGTTTCCCGCATCTTGGTCGACTTCTTCTTTTTAATGAAGTTCACGCTTTGTTGTACACAGTTCTGTGAGTTTGGACACGTGCATATGACCGTGACTCTCCCACCACAGACATGGCACGGAACAGTCCCAGCTTCCCAGATTCTCTTATGCTGCCCCTCTGTAGTCAGCCACTCCCCTCATCCCCAGCCCTGGCAGCCACAGATTTTCTTTCTGTCCTCATAATTTTTCCCTTTTCAGAATGTTAAATAACTGGAACCCTATAGTATGTAGCCCTTTGGGTCTGGCTTCTTTCACTTAGCAATATGCATTTAATATCCATCCACATTATGTGAATTGATAGTTTGGTCCTTTACATTGTTGAGTAGTATTCCATTGTATGAAAGTACCACAGTTTATCCTTTCACCTGATAAAGTAATTTTGTGTTTTCAGGTTTTGGCAATGATGAATAAGCCCTCTATAAACATTCACATACAGGTTTTTGTGAATACATGTCTTTATTCCTTTTGGTTAAATATGTAGGAGAGAGGTTGCTGGGTCACTCAGTGAGTGTAAGTTGAATGTTATAAGGATCTGCCAAACTGTTTTCTAAAGTAGTTGCACCAATGGCTTAGGAACATTATAGTTGCTCTCTATCTTTGGCAGCACTTGGTATTATCAACTTTAAAAAACATTAGCCATTCTAAGGGTGTGTCATCTAGTTTTTAATCTGCAGTTTTCTTTTTGTTTTGTTTTCTTTTTTTTTTTTTTTGAGTCGGAGTCTCACTCTGGCATCCAGGCTGGAGTACAGTGGCACACTCCCGGCTACTGCAGCCTCGCCTTGCTGGGCTCTGGCCATCCTTCCGTGTCAGCCTTCCAAGTAGCTGGAACTACAAGCGCACACTACCACGCCTGGCTAATTTTTGATTTATTGCAGAGACGAGGTCTCGCCAGGTTACCCAGGCGGGTCTCGAACCCACAGGCTCAGGCAATCCACTCACCTAGGCTTCCCAAAGTGCTGGGATTACATGCTGAGCCACTGAGCCCGGCCAGCTTAAATTCTTTATGTTAGAATTACTGCTTGCTTGACCAGCTCATCGTGACCAGCTCATCGTGAGCTCATCTTGTAACTGGGATTTCCTTCCTCTGTTCATCCTTATTTTTCCTTTCATGTGTGAGGTGCAGTCTGTGCTCATGAGACAGTGCTTGTTCGAGTTCTTCATGTTATTGGTGTCCATGACATGTTTTTCTCCTTCTCTTTCTAGGCTCCTAATCGTCAACTCATGACTTACTGGTTACAGGAGCTTCAGCAGAAGAGATGGGAATATTGCAACAGTCTTGACATGGTCAAGTGGGACAGTGGGACCTCCCCGACTGCTGGGGATTTCCCTAAGGGTCTTGTAGCCAGAGATAATTCAGGTAAGTCAGCAGTGGAGGGACCTGTGTCAGTTTTCTGTGTATAGCTCTTTGACACAAGTCAGCTTAGCAGTGAGTGAAAGTGAATTCAAAAAGAAAATAATAATGATGCACCTTAAGATGGATGATGTTGCAATGCTTTCACATACACATCGTTTTCAAGCCCAGTGACAACCTCAGAGTCAGGTCTGTTGATCTGTTTTCCTGAGAGAGTTCTCGCCCACTTTTACGGTGTCTTCACACTTTACCTGTACCAAGAGTGGAAGTCATGCTTTACTTTCTTTTTTTTTTTTACTTTTTTTTTGAGTTAGAGTCTCACTCTTGTTGCCCAGGCTAGAGTGTTCTAGGTTTAGTTCAGGATTCTAGTCATTGTTGACTGAGATTTTTTTTTTTGAGTTGGAGTCTCACTGTCGCCCAGACTGGAGTGCAGTGGCTGCTCCCGGCCACCACAGCCTCGACCTGCTGGGCTCTGGTGATCCTTCCGCCTCAGCCTTCTGAGTAGCTGGAACTACAGGCGCACGCTACCACGCCTGGCTAATTTTTTTTTTATTTATTGTAGAGATGAGGTCTCGCTGCCTAGGCGGGTCTTGAACCCACGGGCTCCGGCAATCCACTCACCTCAGCCTCCCAAAGGCGCGGGATTACAGGCTGAGCCACCGAGCCACTGTCCTAATGCTTTTTATCAAAAGAAGCTCCCTAATTCAGTGTGTACATCATTTGGAAGCCTATTTGGGAGCCGGCAGCATTCATGATGGTAGTGAATGCCTTTGGCTCGGCAGGTGCTCGGTTTGCTCCAGTTCCTCTATTCTGAGAATACAAAGTGCTTCTCTCTAGCAAACCCAGGGGTGTTCAGCTGAAAGGAGGGCAAGGAAGTAGCACCTGTGGTAGCTTCATAACATCTATCCTTCCTTTTTTTTTTGTTTTTGAGTCTGGGTCTCACTCTGTCACCCAGGCTGGAGTGCAGTAGCACATTCATGGTTCACTGCAACCTCCATCTCTTGGGCTCAGGTGATTCTCCCACCTTAGTCTCCTGAGTAGCTGAGACAGCAGGTGCACACCACCATGTCTGGCATATTTTTTAAAATCTTTTTTTGTAGAGACAAGGTCCTGCTATATTGCCCAGGTTGGTCTCTAATGCCTCTGCTTAGGTGATCTTCCTACCACCATCTCCCCAAATGCAGGGATGTCTTCTTTTAAGCCAGAGTGCTGTGGCTAGGGAGCCAGAGAAAGCATTTGCAGTCCATACTTGGTTATTTTCCTTTGGTTTGGGGACTCTAAGTATGGGAATTTAGAGTTTGTGCCATCTGACATTTATTCAGCAAAGTAGGCACCCTAGCAGGTGGCTAGGCAAGGGTGATCATGCAATAAAAAAAGTGAGGTACATGTGAGGGAAGGGATGTGTGGATAACACAGACCTGTGAGTGGGCTGAGCATTGCTTCAGGTCATTGTGCCTCTCTGAGGAAGTGCATCTAAGCTGAGGGCTGGAGGGTGACCAGGAGTCAGCCAGGCAAAAAGAAGGGAGTCAGGCAAGGAAGCTGGCCTGCAGTGCCTTCCCTGAGCTGCATGTCCTGCCAGCTGTAGGGAGCAGCTGAGCCTGGAGGCCCACCCAGGCCTGGAGCTGGGAGAGCCTTGACAGCTGGCCTTGGAATTTTGGGCTTTATCCAAAGGGCAGTGGCATACCTTTGAAGATTGCATTGATAGAAATGCCTGTAACTTGAGATTTTTACCAAGTTTTAGATAGCTTCTAAGAACAAATACTGAAGCTTTGGGCTACTGAGAAATTTCTGAAACCATAGTAGTATAGGATGTCAAAAGTCTGAAGCAGGAAGTTAAGAAGAAAAGACTGTATTCTAGCCCCTTTTGTTTCATCATCAGAGACAAAAACTGGTTTAAAAATAGATGATGTGACGTGGCAGTGCTCTGTGATATTTTTGAAGCCAAACTGTAGTTTATCTGCTCAGCTCAGCCTAAACTTGTTAACTCTAGATAGAATTGTAGATGGACGTTTTTATTCTGACTTGCATTAAAAATAAAATTTTACCTGCTGTCACCTCCCAGTCACCCAGTTGTTTGGAACATTTTCATCTGTAGTCTAATGGGGTCACTCATAGGGCCTCCCTAGCACCTAAAGTCAATATGGAAAAAGATATGGGGAATTAACATTTTTCGTTGAGGGCTAGTTGTGTATCTTGGAAGGCAGCTCGCTCTGGTGAAAGAAGCCCTGTGGGCCTGGCTTTGAGTCTTGGCTCTGATTTTTACTAGTTGTCAGACTCTGAGAAAATCACTTGTCCTCTAGTATCCAGGTGGCAGACAATGGCCCACGGAAATGAAGATTGTCCACCCTCCTTCAGGGTTCTCTCATGAGGATCAAATGAGAAAATGCATTGTTAAGTAGCAAGAGCCATCTGGGTATATATATGTACAGGTATATATTGTATAGATACATATACATTACACACACACACACACACACACACACACACACACACACACATGCACAAACATGAGGGAGATTTAAAAAACCTGGTATTATTTTTTAGAGGGCAGGCCTCATGTGTTACAGTCTTTCCCTGCTAGGTAGGTGCTCTAGGAACCCATCAGCCATCAGTGTACCAATTAGCATTGTGAGAGGCAGCGTTTGGCTTCAGTGAATTTTTTTTGGAGGTTCTTTCAGTGTGTTTGCTCATTTCATGATGGGTGATTATGAGCACACCAGCTCACATCACTAAGTGTTTGGCAGTTTTTGATCAACAGTGTCATGACCCCTGTGCACCACCCTCCCTATTTACCATCTTACCCCAAGTAGCTCCCCCCCCATGAAAAAAGTCCTCAAAGGGAAATGTTTTGCCAATGTGGAAGAGGTGAAACAAAAAGTGACAGAAGCACTAAAAGGCGTCAAAATTGGCAAGTTCAAAAACTATTTTGAGTAGTGGAAAAAGCATCTCGATTGGTATATTGTATCAAACTGAGAGTACTTTGAAGGTGACTGAAGTTTAAATATGTAAGAATAAATACATAATTTTTTATACATGAATTCCATTTTTAGGGTGTCCCACCTTATAAAATGATATCATTTTGAATGGGTTAGGATTATGCTCAGCAGTGACCAACAGGAAACCTGACTAATGGAGATTACAAATAAGGATTTATTTACCTCACAGGATAGGCAGTTCTTGGCTGGCTGAAACTCACTAGTGCCATTGAGGGACCCAGGCTGTTTCTAACTTTCTGTTCTCCATCCTTTGAGTGTGTTAGCTTTCCTCCTCACACTAGCTGCCCCTGAGGGTGACACCGATATCCAAGAGAATGCTTTCCAAGAAGCCCTTGCTCATGCATCATTAGCAGGAACTGTCACATGGCCATTCCTAGCTGGAAGGGGTCTGGACAGCCAAGTATTGTAGCTGAGTGTATGGCCATCGTCAAAACCAAGGTCTGTAAGCTGGAATGAATATTCATTAGGGAGCTGCACTATCACATAGTTGCCTTCATTAATTTTTTTTCCCCCTAGCATCCATGTTTTCAGAGTAAGAGACGGTACCTGTGTGGTTAGAACTTGCAGCCTTATTAGTATCAAGTATTAAGAGTGGGATGCTTATGTGGTCAGTTTACCTGTTCTGTTTTGTAATCTGCAGCTGGTGTCTGAAAGTATACCGTGCCTCAGAGAGCATTCTGCATTATCTTCTGTGCTTGGCTAGATAAAAATCTAGTTTTGTTTTATTTTTTGAGTTGGAGTCTCACTCTGTACTCTGCACTAGGGCAGGAGTGCAATGGCATGCTCACGGCCACCGCAGCGTAAACCTGCTGGGCTTAGGCTATCCTTCTGCTTCAGCCTTCCAAGTAGCTGGAACTACAGGCACATGCTACCACACCCAGCTAATTTTTGTGATTTATTTTTACTAGTATTTTTTTTTTGAGTTGGAGTTTCACTCTGTCTCCACGCTCACGGCCACCCCAGCGTCAACCTGCGGAGTTCTGGCGATCCTTCCGCCTCAGTCTTCCAAGTAGCTAGAACTATAGGCATGTGCTACCATGCTCGGCTAATTTTTTATTATTGTAGAGGCAAGGTCTCACCAAGTTGCCTGGGCTGGTCCCAAACCCGTGGGCTCAGGCAATCCTCTTGCGTTAGCCTCCCAAAGTGCTGGGATTACAGGCTGAGATACCGACCCCAATCATTTTGTGATTTATTGTAGAGATGAAGTCTCACCAAGTTGCCCGGGCTGGTCTCGAACCCCCAGTCTCAGGCAATCCTCTTGCCTCTGCCTCCCAAAGTGCTGAGATTACAGACTGAGCCACTATGTCCGGCCTAAAGACCTAATTTCAACACAAAAGAATAACTTGCAGAAATAAAATAAAGAGTCTGCAAGCCCTCCTGGCTGTTGAGAGTGAGGTAGCTAGAATCCAGAGGAGGCCTTCATGAATAGTGAAGGCTTCATTACAAGATGTATGTCCAGCACATTCTGTTTACTTCATTTCCCATGTGAACTACTAAGAAAATAAGCCAGAGATGACCATACTCCACCTTTTTTTTTTTTTGAGTTGGAGTCTCACTCTGTTGACCAGGCTAGAGTACAGTTGCACAATCACAGCTCACTACAGCCTCAACCTCCTGGGCTCAGATGGTGCTTCCACCTCAGCCTCCCAAGTAGCTCGGACTACAGATACATGCCACCACGGCTGGCTAATTTGTGAGTATATGTGATTTTTTTTGTAGAGACAAGGTCTCACTATGTTGCCCAGGCTATTCTTGAACTACTGGCCTCAAGCGATCCTCTCACCGTGGCCTCCCAAAGTGCTGGGATTATAGTCTTGAGCTACCATGCATAGCCAGACCTTGTTCTTTTGAAGACACTTTCTTTTTTTTAATTCAGAGTCTTACTCTGTCGCCCAGGCTAGAGTGCAGTGGTATGTTCACGGCCACCACAACCTTGACCTGCTGGGCTCACGTAGTCCTTCTGCCTCAGCCTTCCAAGTAGCTGGAAACACAGTTGTGCACCACCGTGACCAGCTAATTTTTTGATTTATTGTAGAGACGAGGTCTCACCAAGTTGCCCAGGCTGGTCTTGAACCCTCAGGCTCAGGCAATTCTCTTGTCTCTGCTTTCCCAAGTGCTGGGATTACAGGCATAAGCCTGGCTTGAGTGCCTAAGAATCTGTTTGAATACCTGGTGGTATTTCTTACAGAAAATTGTACTGTGAAGACAGTTTGAGGGATGACCACACACTTCCTCTGCCCAAGTAGCTGCATCACATAGTTTAACTGTCACACTCTTAACAGCTTGTGTGAGAGCAGGGGGAGCAGAAGGGGGACAGCTGCTTCCTTCCATCCTTGGGAAGCCTGTGCGGGGTTCCCTGTGCAGTGTCCAGGGTACCAGAAGGAAAACCCTGAGAGAGAGCGCAGACCCGATGCAGACAGCACTGTGAGATTGCATGCTGCCATTGAATGTCATGATTCTGGTCAACGATTACAATCACAGAAGCGGTGCTTCTGTGCAATCCTCGTAAGACCTGCAGACTGTCGGGCGTTATTTTAAAGCATCAGTTGTGGTGAGTACCACCCGAGAGGCAGCATGACTGAGAGGAGAAAGCTTATGGGACCCTGAAGCATCGTGGTTTCCCCCTGTGAGGCAAGTTGCTCTTTGCATCAGGTTCCTTCTAGCCTGAGGGGTCTATGAAGGGTGTGGTTGCATGAGAGGGAGGCCGGCTGGGAGGGAGGTGCTGGGTGGGGTCAGTGTCCAACTCTGTCTGGGAGGAGCCTGCTGGAAGCCTACTATCCAGGGTCAAAAGGATACTGTCTGGAACAGACTGGACATCCTTAGCCTAGATGGGGTAGGACTTGGTGCAGGTGGCCACAGGACTGGTATTGATGTGGATGTGGATTAGGGGGTGGGAGCAACTGAGTGGATTGCAGGAGAGGAGGGAGGAGTGGAAAGGGAAGAGAGGGAAGTCCCCTCCCCCGATTCAGGGACTCTATCAGAGGTGAGGTGGCAGGAGTGAGGGATA